GTATCAGTCGCAAAAGCGTTGGGCACCCTCTTCGACAGATCCAGCAGGAATCTGAGCTGCTTCTGTGATATCCTAAGATTTATGGGGGACAGAGACCCCTCAACTTCCATGTCCGGTCTGGGATTGTCTTGCTGATGCTCGAGATAGCAGATACTAAATTCCAGGTTGACTTTCTGGATCATTTCCAGCTCCTCTGCGGTGCCTTCGTCATAGTGGAACTTTGAAGTCAAACGAATGTTGCGAATTCCGGAAGAGATAAGATTAACAGCAGGGCCATCTTTATCATTCTCATCGAGAGGGACAAAAGTATTCTTAGCGTATATCTCACCCAGGTGAGCAGTCACTGTATCATGGGGAAGATCTTCCCTTATGGCGCCTGGGAAGACCAGGATTGGAGTCATTATCACGACATCAAAACGCATTCTGGATGCATTTTCTTGCAGCTGATTGGCCTGGTTGGCTGCAGCTTGCCGGGCGGCGTTAAAAATAGCCTGCATCTTGCCGAACTTGACCAGGAAATTGATTATCTTGCGATAAGGCTCTTCTAAGAAGTTGATTTTCATTGAGCCTGATCGGAGGAAGACTTCTGAATCATACCCCGGGTAAGTTGTACTCTCAGGATCAAAGGTTTCATATTTGAAATCAGCAAAGTTTTCGCCTTCGATGGTCAAAAGCCTGCGAAGATCAGAGTTTTCTGAAGCTCCCGTGTTGACATCGTCGATCAAAGTCAAGCTGCCGATGCGAGACTGTATGAGCATGGTTTTGTCTACGAGCGAAATGCCCACGTCGGCCGTGTTGAGACTCAGAGTAGCCAGTCTAACACCATCATTGTTGAGAATGAGAGCTATACTCTTCAAGTCGGCTTTGATGCGGATTTTTCCGCTTTGTTGCGGCTGCTCCTGAACAGTGCTAATGTCCTGGTTTGTCTCATTTGACTGAGTAATCTGGTTGTTCGGCTGTTCCGGGTTCGTGAATGTCAACAGAACAAAGTCAAGCAGTGTCAAGAGCGTCTTCCTAGTAACGACAAGGTTGATAGTGGAGACAGATATATCAAGGTTCATCGCTACACCTTCGTATGTCGATTGGAAAACAGGAGACTCCGGCTTCACTCGAACGAACTTCAGATGGAAAAGGTCTTTTTCTTCATCGGCATCGAAGCCCTTAGAGGACAGAATCCTCTTAAATTCCGGGACTGGATTTTCCTCAATGTAATCATCGACACTCAAAGATTTCAGAACAACTTCTGCAACCATGTCAAAGGGCCGCATATAGTAGTCCAGCGCAAACCCCTCGGCAACCAGCTCAACCAACAACTGGTCGCGGAGCGGATCCTTCGGATCGGAGCGAGATAACGAACCACGAAGGCGACCGACCGTGAATTTGAATTCGAAGTCTCGACGATGTATGTTGGTTGGCTTGTCAACGCTCTTCCTCTGTTCATCGTCTGACTCATCATCAGAGTCTTCGTCAACATTGGGAAGCTCCCTCAGGATAGACGGCTGGAACGAGGAAGATCTCGCCCTATTGCCAGATACGGTGGTTTCTTTCGTCTTATTGGCGGTGTCGCTCGGCGCGCTACCATCATCGAAGTTGGGGATCGCAATGTCGATCAGCTTCATGAGACCTTTATACTTGGCATCGGACATTGAAGCATGCAGTTCTGGAAGGTGGCCGGAAATGCGAGTTCTGGTGAGCTCAGTGACCTTTGGCACAATACACATTTCTAGAACGAAATCAACATTGATGCGATCGATGATGTGCAAGTTTCGGGTCTGGACATCCGTGCTCAATTGCGCCTTGGTGGTCTCAATGCCGGGTCCAATGAGGACTTGCGTCGAGTCCAACTTGATGAGAAATCTGTCGTACAGAAGGTGCTCGAGCTCCTTATAATCGCCTTCCTCGTACTGCCGTTTCTGCTTCGATTGAAGATCTCTCATTGTCTGCCGGTCGACGAGTTCGCTATTGACACTGATGTGACCAGCGTCGAGAATCAAACAGAGGGAGCTCTCTTGTGTGATACTTTCAGGAACAATAATCAGAGGCGCATGAATATCAAATTGCGCGTCAACCTTCTTGTGCTCCTCCAGCGCAAACTCCAAGCCCGCTCGGGTTTGCTGCCGGATGCCTTCCACGGTGGCACCGGCTGTGTCCAGAAGGGCCCCGATCGATTCCATATGTCTCTCGGGCGGTTCAAAGAATTTGACAACCTCAACGATGAACCTCGGGTTGTAGATGACCTCGATACTCTTCATTTTGACCTTCACGACCGAATCGGCGTCACTTTCGAGAGGGTTCTTCTCGAGTTCTAAGTGGAACAGGCCGTCCCTGTAGTCAGAAGCATCATCGCCAGCATCATGCTCCAGCTGGCTGTCAGAAGCTTGGGATAGACGGTTCTTCGGTTCTGGCAGTGAATCCTTGACCTTGACAATCTGGGGGAAAAGACTCCCTTCCGTCGTTCCATCATAGACTCGCAAGCCACCGAGGTTGAGGTCGATGAAGAAGGAATCAGGACGCTGCAAGGCCTTGGCTCTGAAGTTGTCAAACACGAACTGCATGATTTCGTTGGCCTTCCCGTGTGGGTCACGTTTCAATGTAAAGCTTCCAGCTCTAAGACCTGCATTAACCTGCAGCTTCACCCAGTCTCTTGGGACATCGACACTGTCGGCAATTGCCTTTTTCTCATCCCAGTCAATAGCATTATAGAGTTCCTGCCGCTGTTCTTCGGTCATGGTAGTCTCCTCGGACTCCTCCTTCTTGCTGCCCCAGAACCATTCTGACCAGGACTGCTGCTGCGCAGGCTTCTTGACACCGACATTCTCCTTTCTTAATTGATTCCTCGCCAACGATCTCCAAAAACGAATGTCTTCGTAGCTGAGCTTTCTTTGCAGGCGTTCGTAGTTTTCGGCGTCTGCGCCTGTCAAGGTTTCTTCGCGCTTTTTCTTCTTGAACAAGTCAATGTACGCGATGCGGTCATCTCGTCGTTCCTTGATGTAGTCCCAGGTCCAGCGCCTATTTCGTTCATGGATCTTGCTAAGTACAGCTTCCCCAGCAAACCTCAGCCAAGCGCGGGGATCCTCCTTTGGTCTGCACTTTGGCTGGAACTTCCTGTATTCCTGGTGGCGGATGAAATAGTGAAAAAGGTCGACAAGCATCAGCGCATCACGATACTGGTGGTCGTCAAGGACGAAACTGAGTTCATCAAAGAGCAACCTCGCTTTGATCGCCGCCCTATCATGTCCTCCAGACTTGTCCATCTCTAGACCAGCACGTCCGCTAACCGGCCGAAGCATGAACTGAACATTTTCTTCGCTATCAATGCCCGACCTTAGCTTCTCGATCAACTCCGCATGGCCAATTCCCTGTGCTTCTGCGCCTATGTCGGAACCTCGACCTGTACCCAGAAGATTTGCATCTGTGTTCCAGTAGATTGCGAGGGCGCCGAGGATTGCCAGTTTATGGGTCGTACCGGAGGTCGACTGGATGAAAGTGGGATTCCACTCGGAGTCGGTGCTCACGGCACTGAGCTCCTTCAGTGTCACACCGAGGGCGAAGGGGTGGTCAGGCGAAGAGATCGAGTCCTCGTAGCGAAAATGCACGTTTTTGATGGATATCTGGAGGTTGTCGACAACGGCCGTTACCAGGCTTTGGGTAAAACTTTGGTTCCGACGCTGCTCTTCCTGGCTCATGCCCTCTGTGTTGCGTTCCTTAAGCATTTCCGCGCTCTCAATCTTTTCCATCTTCAGGTGATGCGCCCGCCGCTCTTCCTCCTCCGGGTCGTAGTCCTGATCTTCCTTGGGAGCCGCAAGCAGAAACACATCTTCAATGTCAACCTTGACTGGCTTCCCTCGTAGATTCGACCAGGGGATCGACAAGGTGAGCTCTCCGACATGTCCCTCTACAACGTTGAGCGGCAGACGTAATTGATCGAGAGCCTCCCGTCGGAGCTCCAAGTTATGGAGCTTCACATCGCCAGACCAGATTCCGATGTTCAACTGTCTGCCATCAAAGTTCTTGATGTACATGCCCAGGGTGCGGTTGAGCAAGTTGGCGACAAGACCCTCCAACATGGTTGCGGGATGCGGCCGTAACCCGGGCCGGGGGCTTCTGCGTGGAGACCGTAGGGGATAATAGAATTATTCGTAACTGATCGTTTAGGCCAGCCTGGTTGTATGAAGCGCAGAGTCAGCATGACATCGATGCAATAATTCCAGATTGGTGGGAGAAATAAAGGGCGGTCGAGCAAGCAAATGAATAGAATGGGAAAGACCTTTCAATGATGCGCGAGTTCTAGTTGCACTCGCAGATAATAGAGAAAAGAGCCATGCAGAAGGTTGGCTCAGTATGCACGCAGTACAAAATGCGGGCGGCAAGTGCAAGCAATGGGCTAACAAAAAGTGGAAGTATAGATAGTGAATCAAGTGCGGAGAAAACGAAAGAGGAACGTGGAAGGGCTAGCTGACGTATTCCCGCGGCAGTTCAGGTAGACGGAAGAGTGTAAGGGAAAGGAGGGGGGAATAGTAAGTAGTCGAAGGTTGGGTATCAGGCTTGGCCCAGTAACCCAATTGTGAAAGAGTGGAGGACGAGACTTGTCTCTAGATGGGCGAGTGTACCTGAGAAGGCATGTGCTGGGCCGATGATAATAATACGAAGGGAAGAAACTAATCACTAATAGGGGGAAGGAAGAGGGTGGATAGAGCGCTGCGTAAGTAAACGCCGTGACGCGGTACGGAGCAGTTACGGAGACTCTCAGTCACTGTCTCACAGTAGAATCGGGCCCTGAGTGACGTCGGTGCTTCTGCCATGGCATGGCCTGAGCTGAGAGGACCCCCTTCCACTTCGAGACTAGCTGTCTAGGGCTGCAGCCCTCGTGGCTGAGTCAGCCCGCGTGGTGGTTTGGACCAGTCATGCCTGAGGCATTGTCTATGACACCTGCGGGGTTGGTGTCTACAGTATGCCGGAGAACGACGTGACCGCACCTCAGCATAATATCACCTCATTCATTCATGGTCTCCAGGATCGAATTGCTTCCCCGGCCTGACATCTCCACTCCCACGAGTCAATCTCGACCAATTTCTGGGTGAATACCCTCATCTCCGCTCTTGCACCTTTTTCTCCTTCTTCCACCAGCTCAATTGGGTGTGTATACCCCCGAATTGCTTGCTTCCGAGCTCTTCCACCCTCCACCTTGCTAACCGCGGATATCGGGAAAAAAAATCAGCTGTCTAGACGACAATGCTGTACAGAACCACTGCTGCCCGCTCTGTCCTCAGGGCTATCTCGAGCTCCAACGCCTCGGTCGCCCGCTCGGCCCTGTCCAACAATGTCTTCAAGGCTCCCTTGACCTCTTCCGCTCGTTATCCCGCTCGCCCGACCACCTCCCCCAGCCTCGCTCTGGCTGCTCGCAAGCCCGTCACCACCGCTCTTGTCCGCTATGCCTCCACCTCCGCTAAGGTGAGCTGGGAACGAGGCGAATTGAGTACTATAATTGATTCAATTGCTGATCGAAGATCCACAGGAAGGCGAGGAGCCCGACATGATGGCCGGTATCAAGACCGAGGCTGTATGTGTTTCCATTCTTCCCCAGATATCGCTACTTCTGCGGGGCAACTAAGTCTCTCGGCGATACCTCTGGAGTCCAATGCGCTAATGACTATATCTCAAACCTATAGAAAGTCATCAAGGACACCTTCAGCCTGGAGGCCGTCCCCAAGGAGGCTCTCTACCTCGGAATGGCCGGTGTCATCCCCTACGTTGCTACTTCCCTGCAGACCGTCGCCCTCGCCTATGAGGTCAAGACCGCCGCTTTGGCCGGTGATGGTCTGATCTTCTCCGGCCAGAGCGCCGAGTTGATGCTGCACATGATCGAGCCCATCCAGGTCGGCTACGGTGCTGTTGTAAGTAACCCAGCCTCAATCTGACAGCAAACCCCCACTTGTCCCAAGAATATCCCAGCTAATTAGACCACCCAACAACAGATCCTCTCCTTCCTCGGTGCCATCCACTGGGGTCTCGAGTGGGCCGGCTACGGCGGCAAGTACGGCTACAAGCGCTACGCTGCCGGTGTTATCGCCCCTGCCGTTGCCTGGCCTACCCTGCTGCTCCCCGTTGAGTATGCCCTGATCTCTCAGTTCCTTGCCTTCACCTTCCTGTACTACAACGACGCTCGCGCCGCTGCTGCCGGCCGCGCCCCCGCCTGGTACGGCATGTACCGCTTCGTCCTCACCTTCATCGTCGGTGCCAGCATTGTTGCCAGCTTGATCGGCCGTGAGCAGATCGCTGGTACCCTCAGCACTGAGCACACCATCAAGGACAAGATCAACGCTCTGATCTTCCTGCAGAAGAAGGAGAAGGAGGAGGTTGAGGCCCGTCGTCGCGCTGAGCTCGAGGATGCCGAGTAAGGGATTAAAATCAATTGATATCTCATGTCAAAGTGTTGGTTTATTTTAATTCCCTGAAAAGTATATAGTACAAAGGGCAATTCGGAGAATTGGGGATGGGGGGAAAGTCATCCAGGCTGTCTGTGGCAAGCATGGTTGTGATACAGTAGAAATCATGTCGGGTCTTTATGTATGATGTAGTTTTATACTACTACTACTGTTTTTTTTATTTTGGGTTGATGTGTTTCTTGTAGATTACATGCGAAATCAACAACGCCAGCAGCTGCTGGAAGTTTCATTTGTTTGTGCCATGAGCGGTTATCATTCTTTTTATTACTGTAGTACTATTGGCCCAATCAATGGGGGTAATAGTACACTCCGTATTGAGGTTTTCATCACTGTGATGAGCTATCAAAGTAAGTAACTGAGTAAAACAGTTCTCTCGTATTTAGTAGGTTCAGTTTGGCACAATTGCACAGTTCAATCGTTTCAGTCTACCACAAGGACAGCCAGAGCGCCAGTTGGAAGGTCTAGCCAGACATCACACCTCCCCCCTCCGGAGATTTATATATAAAGATAGTATCAATTGAAGTCAGGTGACGGTGTCTACTAGTAGTAACACCAAACCCAATCCAAAAACAATTTACCACCTACTTACCAAATAGTATCTATCTACAGCATGTACCAAGCACTATAAGTAGCAAAAGGCTGCATATACGGCCGAGAAGAAAAGTAAAAAGAAAAGAAAAGGTGAAATAAAATAAAATAAAATTAGGCAGGGAGTGGGGCCCCGCCAGCAAGGGTAGATTGCAAAAAAGGACAGTAGTACGTATGTAAGTCCGGTTGGGTTGAAGAACTTCCATCCAAATCCGGCAGAAAAACGACCTACCTGACCCGAACAGAAAAGGAAAGTAAGACGAGAAGTGCCCAGGCTCGTCGGAACTCCGGGTGGCTTTTCTGCGGTAACTATGTATAAAACCAACGGTATACCGTATGCTTGACTAAATGCAGGTAAAGTAAGGTAATAAAGATAAGGGTTGGGCGGGCGCGCCCAACGAACAACGAACGAACGAACGAACAGCAGGTCTGGAATGTGGCATGCAGGGTTGGACGGACGGCATTTGCTTTCTGCAATGTCGGATGTTCCGAACGAATCCGAGTCGTGGGATATAGAGTGTGTTTGTTCTGTGATAGGTAAGTAGTATAGTAAGTAGTCCAGTTTAGGGGGGGAAGTAGCAGGAAGACTTGGGACTGGGTTACTATGGCGTGTGATACGGATGTGTGTGTATGCTGCTTGTGCAGATCAAGAGCCAACAATGACGACCGGAACGGGGAGGTGCCGCATTGAAACAGGTTTCGGGGTTGACGATGTGCGTGTGTGAGTATGTGTGGTGGTGGACGGCCGCCGCGGGTCTGGATCCGGTTGTTGCTTTGCTGTGTGTGTGTGGATGTGTATACCTTAGGCATACATCCACATGCTTGAATCGGGGGATCTTGTAGCTAATATGGGTAGATAGGTAATGATATCTGGCTAGGGGTCCTTTGTTTCGGCGGACAGGGTATGTTTCTTCGATGGGAATTGGTAGGGATGTGTCGGCCCGCCCTTTTGGGGCGAGACGAGCCCGTGGTCCAGGGCGATAAAAACGGATGTGGCTGATGTGATTGCGGTCCATGAATGATGGGTTTTCCCCATATCAGCTTTGCATCATTGAGGGATGATGATATAGATCCTTGGCAATTGAGCTTTCGGGGCTGATAGTCTAGTGAGGTCATACTCGAAAGGCGAATGATTACATAGATGACCATATTGGAAGCTGAACCTGTTGATCTTCTTCTCCGCTCAATTTGGGGAGGACCACAACGGTTCCTGGGGCAGTTGCTTCGTATACCTGAATAGGGATAGATGGCAGATCAATGTCGTGGCTAGTTGATGATGGGCGGGCGGGTTTGGGGGTTTCTGCTGGCTGGCTTGCTTGCTTGCTTGCGTTACTTGGGAGCTGTTTGTGTCGGTGGGTGTGATTTATTGAGGTGGCCCTTAGGAAGGTCAAGTCCGGTCGAAGACGTCACCACCCGGGAGTTAGATTTGGGGGCGGCCCTGCCGTGGCGGTTCACTATACGGACGGAGAAATGTAGGCAGGCGGCATGATTGATTTCCATTCCATGGACGCATATTGGTAGTGTCATTAAATTCTCCAGGGAGAGATAGGGAAGTCTGAAGCGATTTGAATTCATCGATGGATCGATATCGTGGTACTGGGGTTGGGATAATTAATCCTACTATATTTTGGCGCGTCTGGACTGGTCCGAGCAGAAGAAGAGTATTGGAGTTAGCCGGAACGCCAGGACGATAGCCGGGAGAATTGGTCCCGTGGCCCCCCCCAGCCCAGCTGCTAGGCTTCCCTTCCTCCCCCAGCCAAGCCGAACCGAGTATCCGGATTGTAAAATTTCTCCGTAAATCACAGGGCCGAACGAGGTCGCCTCCCCCATGTCTCTCTGCCAAATGGAGAATGGTACAGCGGCACGCTAGAAGGTCGCCAGTCAGGGGAGCCGACGGTCTAGAAGGCCAAAGTAAAATGTGATTGCATATGGAGGGCAGGGGACAACGCATCCATTGAGATGGATGGATTAGTAGTCACTTGATCGCTACTAGTATGTATGGTAGTTTATGTACGTGCTCCCGTGCTTTAAGAAAACGGGTGAACTGTGAAGGGACTACTATCTACTATTACTCAGAATGGGCTGAAGATCTTAAGCAGCGCAACAGCACAGCAGGACTATCCGAAAACGACAGGCGAAGAAAAGGAAAAAGGAGAATTATCCATTCGGTGTTCAAGTGATCAGAAAGAAAAAACAGTAAAAAAGGAAAGAATATTGGAGCCAGGGGTCGAAAGACCCCGGTCTAGATCGCCGATTGCTTGAACAACGCGTTAAAAAGGGACTAGCGGGAGAAAAATGGACATTGTCATGTGCTCGATCGACAGGAATCTAGTAATCCATCTAGTCAAAGTAGAAGCGCAGAATCCCATAGTAGCGGAGTCGGAGACTCACCCGCAGAGCCCCTCTTTTTTTTTTCTTGCGCGTTTCGCCCTCAAGTCGCGACATTTGTCCATTCAGCGCCGACCCCGCCGTTCTGGTTGTTGAGTCGGATCCTTGGCAGGGATTGTTGTCAAGGGGGAGCGGAGGTCGAAGGGGCGCAAGACGAGAAGACGGTCTACGGTCTCTGGGGCAGATGGACCGGAGATCCATTGGGTTCTAGGGATGCCGATTGTAGATCTTCGAGGGGACATGTCGGTATACAGGCACTCATAACTGTACACTGCATCCTGAATTGTCCAGTTGTTTAGTTAGGTCGGGCAGGCTTACGTATCGATGTACGATGCATTGATCTGGCATCTGCGGTTTTTTTCTTGGTATTCAAACAAGGAATCGGATTGATAGATCAGAATCGCGATTGATTGTTTAATTGTGAAAGTTGTACATGGGATTGGGCGCGAAACCATTAATCACACCAATTAAACCAGCGGTATCGGAAATAAGAGCAATAAAAAGATCCAATATCAATATCACGATGAATATCAGCATCTGCCATGTTTCACATCGCAATCTGAGCAGGTCAGTCAGCCCTTAATTGCTTGTTTTGGACCCAATTGAATCCTGATGTTCTCTTCCATATGGCTCCGTGTTCGCGGGTGGTTCTAGGCACAGACGCTAGCTAATGCGGGTGGAGGGATTGTCCTGGAAACAGAAATCCATGGAATTTTTATGGGTCCGCCATGAGTGTCATGTGGGAGCCCAGCGACTATTCTTAGCGCTTGTCTAACTCTGGAATACTACCTACTCGGTCTGCTGGGTCGGATACCTTGCCGATGAGAGAAGATTGAGGAAAGAGAAGAAAAAAAAAGGAAATGAGTGAACTGTGAGCTGTGAAACCTTGTCGGCGTTATATCCGGTCGTTTGGGTCGAAAAGATGTCGTGACAGCTGGAGATGATTGCATTTACATATTGTTCCTCAAATAAGTTACGATCAATATCTATCAATTTCTACTGTAGTAAACTGAAACTCTCAAACACAAGCGATAGGAACGAATCAAGAGGGGGAAAAAAAAAGAAAAGGTTCAATGGAGAAATTTGAATCCATCCACAACCTGCCAGGTACTACTGTATTCAGTAATCAGTAGTAACTACTCCAGAATCCGTAACGCCGATGGAAGCCCACCGAATAAGCTAAAGAGATAAGAATGGCGAGTGACCAGGGGTAAACCTTCCTAAAATCACCCGGAAGGCATGGTTGCCATCCGCGTAAGGGGGGAGGAACGGAGAACCTTCACAAGTGTTCGACAAGAAAAGACCAACGGGGGGGGGATGAGGGAGGGGCGGGTGTCAATGCTGACGACGGGCAGTGGTCGTCTGATCAGAAAAAAAAATGATGAGAAGGGCCCAGAAGGGGAGGAAGGAAGGCAAAGATTAGTGGGAAAGGAAGGGGATTACCCATTGATTGCTGGCTGCGTTTTTCCCTTTTTTCTTTTTTTTTTCCCTCTTTCCCTCTTTTCCTCTTGTTCCTTTCCCCCACGCCCCCACTTCTCCGCCATGGACGAACGGGGATGCGCATCCAGCATATTGCCAGATTGGGTACTCGCCGCTAGTCCATTGCACCTGCTCTTCTGACCCTCTTGTTCTGTCTGTCTGTCTCTGTATTGGTATTGAGTGAGAGTGTACTCCCCCCCGACCCCCCTCTCTCCTCTTCCTCTACTACTACCTCTTTCTAGTGTTTCCCCGGGCTAGTCCAGTCGATAGCAGCAGGTACTGGTACCGTACTAGCGATCTAGTCTAGGTCGGATTGGACTCGACTCGACCTTGGACCTTACTTTCCGGCAGGAATACCACCTAGACCCAGGGGATTCCCCGGAACAAGCTATGCATGACCCAAATCCTATCTGGGGGGGCACATTTTTTTAATAATTTGATTGAAAAGGGAAAAATTGAGGGACTACCACGCAAAGAATTAAAATAAAAATAAAATAGAAAATCTAAAGGAATAAATTATCAGCAACCCCGAGGACAACGTGAACAAGAAGAAAAAGAGGTCCCACCGAGTTGGATAAAGAGTCTCCCTCATCCTGCCTCCAACATCTCTTGAGCCAGATTTAATTGATTCCCTTCCGTTCTGTTCTCCTTCCCTTCCCTTCTACCCGTCGCCACACCCCAATAAACCACACCCGGTCTTATCCAGTCTTCTCTGTGACCTCATACCCTCTCTCTTGCGGACACTCTCCTCTCTTCCGGTCCCTCCTCTCAACCTTCCTCCAGCCTTTCAGCGGTTTATCCACACCTGGCGCCTCCTCTTGTTTCTCCAGATTCA